GTCAAATACAAGAAATGGAAACTTATCACTTTCTACACTAACGTGTTTTTTTCACTTTCAATTTCATTTTTATTATAGTTGATTTATAATTCTCACTCACCATTATATTTAATGCTTAGTCAAAGAAATAAACCAGAATTATAATACTCTATCTCACATGATATTCATGACTGAATAACTTCCAAATCATATTCAAAAGTTAATGATATGAACTCTGGCAGTTTTCAAGAAATATTGATCAGGCCATAATTAAATCTCAATGTATGTGTTAACACCCATTGAGCACTCTTCTTTTTCAATCAGCATCATATTAGGTAGGTGCTTAAGGACAAGTAGCTTGGCTTTCAGTAAATTGAAAAATATATTTAAGATTTATAATATTATTCACAGAATTCATAATTCTATTCTGAGAAATTCGAAGTTCATGTTTTCTCATTTTCAGTCTCCAAAGCTCTGTTTTGAGTTCTCCAGACTTTGGCAGAATTGTAGATACAGCGATATCAGGCTGGTGGTACCTACACACCGCTTCAGTCTGCGCACATGGCCAGGAAGCTGGCTGCGATTCAGGTGGGTAACCCAGGTCATGTCCATGGGCATGGTCCGGCAGCAGCACAGGCGCTGGCTCAGCATCTGGTCTGAGGGAGTTTGGAAGTCAATATTGACTTGTTTTTAAACAAACATGTATTATTTTCATAAGCAGAAAAAAATTCTATTTGGGGGGAGAAAAGATTATGCCAGATCCTCATAGTGGAAATATATCATGCTTATTTGAAAACATTCACTACAAAAATAATGGAAATGGGACATTTCTGTCACCTACAGGAATGTTTCAAGGGTACTTTATAACAGCAAGTACTATTTTTATAAATTTTATAAACTGAAATTTAGTTCAAGTTTTGGGATAAGAAGAAAGAACTTGCTAGACCCTACAGATGAAAGGATAAACATTCATTTCAGACTCATCAGAATGTATCCGGTACACCTGACATGAATGAAAATGCACCATTTCATGGTGCTTTAAAATCCAGAAGATCCAGAGTGCCAAAATGGCTTCCCTGAAGCTTACCCCTTAGTCTCAGTTACTCACTGCTTCTGCCACAAGCATAAACCAGGACCCACCCAGAGCCTGAAATATGCAACACTTGTAAAGACTACTGCTCCTGTGAAAATGACTCAGTGCCTGACTTCAGGTTTTGCAAACAGCCTAAGAACTTCCAGAGTCCCGTTTGTCTCAATCAAAGCCAATGTGAATTCTGCCCAGAGTTCATCCCAGACATGAATCTAATACAGACAGATCAGCATAGATATACCCCAAAATAGGAGTTTTATCTTTGTCAACACATCAAATTAATTTCCAATTCAAAATTTTTTTATTTTCAATCAACTATTAAATTTATACAGGGTGTCCCAAAAAATGTATACATGTTTTAACAGCTGATAGCTGTTAAATGAAAATGAAATATATTTTAATAAACACTGCCTTTATAATCATTCGAAGTGTGTGTATACATTTTTGGGACACCCTGTATATCACATTTAATGTCAAAGGATTGATTTGTTAGATCAAGCATAAAAAAAACATGTTAATATCTACTAGATATTACTAGAGAGAATTAGGTAAACATTCACACAGCTACCCTCAAAGAGCGTACACTGTAGTAAAAGACATGACATGTACATGAATAATCATAAGATAGAGTGTTAAACTGCTAAGTATTGTGGGAGTTTAAGGGGGCACTCAAACTCACTCAGATGCCTCACTTGCACCTGAACCAAAGAGAATAACATAAATAAGATACAATCCAACAACACACAGGAACTTGTTCTAATCATCCCAGACACCAAAGCTTCATATTAAACAGGCCCAATAACCTCAATCTCTACAAGAGCTAGATAGAAATATACTTGGTGCTCTTTAATCTTACTAGCCTTTATTTGTCCCATATCTGATATTAATTAACCCCATCAAATACATAAAATTTCTAATTACTAATCCATATTAGAGTAGTTAACAATCTAGTGGCTGCTTTGACAGGAAAGGATTTCAATATATTCAATTACATCAAAATGCATTCAGCATCCACTCTGATTAAGGCACTGTGCAATATTTTGTAGGGGGATACAAAGATTATGAATTTATAGTACTCAAAGAGCTTGCAGCCCGGCCGGGCGTGGCTCAGCGGTTGAGCGTCGACCTGGGATCCAGGCGATCGGGGTTCGATTCCCGGTCAGGGCACATGCCCGGGTTGCGGGCTCGATCAATGACTCTCTCATCATTGATGTTTCTATCTCTCTCTCTCTCCCTCTCCTTTCCTCTTTCTGAAATCAATAAAGATATTTAAAAAAAAAAAAAAAAAAGAGCTTGCAATGTAGTAGAAAAGGCTTACATATATACATGGGACTAACTATATGGCACAGTAAAGTTTATAAATTGTACCCAAATCTAATTTGACAAGCCCACAAACTTTTGATTATCAAAAGCAGTTATATGTACACTAAAGATAAAACTGGAACCCAAGGTCATGCAACACTAGTGACTCCTTCCTAAAGAAATACCAAGCTCCAAGTAGTCATTATATTCTCTTGCCTAGGTTGTAAATTGAGTCAAGTAGACTGGCATATCTCTGACACTGAATTAACACAGCCTTCTAAGTCACCTAGGCAATAGCAGTATCGACTTTCTACATGAATGTAAGTCACATCTGTTTTATTATTTGTGACTTGGCGTTACATGTCTAAGCATGTAGCTATTACTGACACCTTCCAAAAGAATTGTATTAGTCTGCTTGGGCTGCCATAACAAAATACTATAGACTGGGTGGCTTACACAACAGTAATTTATTTCTCAGTTTTGGAGGCTGGGAAGTCCAAGATCAAGGTGCCAACAAAGTAGGTTTCATTCTGAAGCCTCTTTTCTTGATTGTAAGTGGCTACCTTTCACCTTGGGGGCTACCTTCTCCTAGTAGAGGGTGGGAATGGGGGAGGGAGCTCTCTTTTTTTTAAAAAAGACAAGGGCCCCAACCTCATGACCTTATCTAATCCTAATTACCTACCAAAGGCCCCATCTCCAAATACCATCACATTGGGGATGTTAGGGCTTCAAGACATTTTGGGCGAGAAACAAGCATTCCAGTCCATAAAATGATTAGAGATCACTAAGAAGGTCCTGATGGCTTTGGGGAGGACCCAACCCCAAAATATTTGGGGAGAGAGCTCTAGAGGTGCCACAAGTGGTGACAAATGAAAATGTGGTTTCTTTCCAGATCTACCTTTCCCATTATTGCCATTTCTGGCTGAACTGGAAATCAAAGGATAGGTTAATAGCCTTTAGTTACCGTTTACCCAGACATTTCAGAAATCTGAATGCATCTCTTCAGAGCTTTAGAACATAGCTCTCAAATCCTAACCTACCTGTAATACACGCTAATGATAAAATCTAGACAGGTACTTTTATTAATATGAAAGACTGAAAAATATAACATTAATATCTACCTTTTGTCTAAAATCAAAGTCAATACTTTTACTATCATAAATCACGGAAATGATTTTACTTTCCAGGAAAACTGACATCACACATTCTTAATAATTATGTGTGTCATAGCTATAACGGTTTTTGTATGTGAAAATGTTTGTGGTTTATATATAAAATTTCTAATTACAAAGATATATTATATAAAATTACAGTAAGCAAGGAATTAAACTCACGCTAAGACAACACAACGTCAATTTATCATGTGACTAGGATTGCTTAAGTCTCTTTATGTTAAAAAAATGACAATACTCATGGGTCCAAACAAGACTAAATAGAAGTGAGGAAGTGAGTCTTAAAATGAGCTATATGAATTAAAATATGTACAATAATAAATAAAACAGATTTTATTTTATTTTTTTCCTAGTAACCAACATTTCCAAGCTGCTAGAATGGGCAGAAATTGCTAGGTGGCATATTTTTATATTTTTACCTTCTATATTCAGATACTTTAAAATTCTTGAAAAACACCAAAGCAGATAATATGTCATCCCCTTAAGATAATCTGTGATAATTTAGGATATCATAAAACCAAAATTATGAATTACTGATACACATATTCCTAAATGTGAAAATAACATAAGCTAGTAGTATATTCATCTTCCAATTTTATAAGAGTCTTACAAATAAATTACATATATAACTTGCTTGCCCTCCCTTCTACCCTTCTAACAGTTAAAGAATTAAAAGGTTTACAATAATGTAAGGATTACAGAATTAAAATCAGCATTCTTGTCTATTCAATCCAAGGATAAATTATTAGCTGCTCCTAGGTAAGTGGGCTCATAACTACTATAAGTGCAAGGACATGAATTTATCCAACACTATGATCTTTCCTTTTATTAGTGTGCACAGTAGAATAATAAGCATATTCATTTTGGACAAAAATATATATACCTATCAGTTATCAGAAGCACAGTGTTGAAGATAGTAGTTCCATAGTAATTTGAAGTATCTGTTTGAATTCTTATTAGTAGCAAATTATTCTAAATGCTAGCAATTTTGTCACCACTGATAAGAAAATATTGATATTAACTATGGTGGTCAATAATTTCAGAACATGTAAATTTACTGAATCCACACAATATAAAATTACAGAAAGGAAGAGTACGCTAGTTCATCTTTAGCATCTCTTCACACGGGAGAAAATGACATGGCCCAGTAACTGCCTAATGAACTACAGAAAAGTCCAAGGCCCCTCTTCTCTGCTAATGTGGTTGGTCCTTTTGTCTTTTTCCCCACCTCCTCGCAATGGACTTTCTGCAATACTCAGATACAAACAATGGAAAACAATTAAGGTGGATCTATAGTGTACGTGCAGAATGAAACCCTCCAAGTGATCTGCTCCACAAAGAATAATTTTGGTCTACACTATTGTCTAAACCCTACTATAAAAATGATAGGGCAGCCCTGGCAGGTGGCTCAGTTGGTTGGAGCATCATCCCATACACCAAAAAAAGGCTGTGGGTTCAATTCCCAGTCAGGGCACATACCTGGGTTGCAGGTTCAATCCCCAGTTGGGGCGCATATGGAAGGCAGACGACCAATGTTTCTCTCTCTCTCTCTCTGGCCCCTTCTATTTAAAAAAAAAAAAAAATGTTAGGGTTGTGGACCAAAACAATGCACTATTTTATCAACTGTGTGAAAATTATTGGTGGGGTAAGATTTAAATCTGGTTAGTACAGGACTGCATTTCTAGCACTACCAACCTGAAATTTAGAAGATATAATATCCACATAATGCATATTTGATGTTTCACATTAATTTTCAAAACTCCAGAAGCTTGTTCTTCGTTCAAGTATGTCCAAATCTACCCTGGCAGTTTAATGATAGTTACAAGCAGCATAGGTTATATCAGGCATATCGGGGGAGGGGGGGCAATTTCATCTAAGTGAAGTTGGGCAAGTCACTTCACCAATTTGTGCCTCCAAGGTCATACTAGTGTTTATCTACCTCATAAGGTACCTATTATGTAACTTTGGGACAGTTACACTCGATAATGTCTGCAAAATATTTACCTCTGCCCTGATTGGTGTGGCCCAATGGTTTGAGCATCGACCTGCGCACC